GTCCACCCTGGGAGCTGCTGACAGAGCTGGGCTCAGCCATTCTTCTCCAAATCCATCTGGTGAGCATAAATGAGAAAAGGGAGGGCTTCTGGTAGGTACTCTTTGAGCCATGTGGTAAAGAGATAATAGAGAAAATAGTGAAAGTATAATGGAGTAGGGTCTGGAAAAATCCATCTGGAAAACTGTCATTACCTCCACCAGAGTCCACCAGAGCTTTACAAGGAGGCTGTGGTGGGGAAAAGCCACTCATCCAGATTTAATCCTTTCTGGTTTGTCCAGGTTATTCCTTAGATCTGGATGTTAATCCTCCTTAATCCAGAGAACACCTTGGCACTGGCAGGGCTGGGTGATGGTGTGAACATCAGGGTGTGTTTGGCAGCAGCAGAGCTCAGAGCAGGGTCAGCTCTGGGCAGGAAGGTCCCTGTCCCTTGTGCTGCATGCTCAGGAACACAAAGTGCAGCCCCAGAGCAGAGCAGGGGCTGCAATGGGGATCCCTGAGCCCGTGGGGCAGGGCTGGGAGGGCTGAGGCTGCAGCTGCATTTGTAGAGCACCTCAGTTACAGCTGATCCACCAGGGAATGCTGGCTTAGCACTCAGCCAGGGCCAGGCTTTGCTATTCTGCTCAGATACACGCTAACAGCTACTTGGAGATCTGTTCCAGGGATATAAATAGGCTTTAGCAGGTAAAGCACTAGCTTGGAGTTGTAAATAAAGATGTCAAATGATAGTCCATAACCAAACTGCAGATCCTGGGTGGAGGGTGATGGCTTTTGCTGTGTTCATGGGTATCTTATATCTAATGCACCATAAAAGTGCTGGGTTTTATAGCCAGGGTTGTGCTGAAGTGAGGGATGGTACATTCCCAGCCTCCAGCACTCCCTCTGAGCATTCCCTGTGCCCAGCAACTGCACAGCCCAGTGAGGTTTTCATTGAGGGTCCATATGGGAAGCATATGGAAAAATATCTCTTTGATCTGTCATTTATTAATGGCACCTTATGAAATATTTTGTTTGTTTGTCTTTCAGGGCTGTTCTTGCCTTCCCATGAAATTCCACTCTTCCCCTGGGTAAGCTGATGCTGTTGTTTAGTTCTGGGGAGGTGAAAAAAGATCCCTCTGCTGTGCTGGGGTCACCCTGGGCCCACCCAGCCCCTCTGTCAGTGCCTGCTCAGCTGGGCAGGGCTCACAGGACACAGGGAAAGGGATCAGGGCAGGGAGGGATCCCTCACCAGCTGCTGCCATGGGCAAACACACTCAGCTGGGGGAAGCCAGTTCCATTTATCAAACACATCACATCACAGGAGCAAACTGAGAAATAAACCCAAATCTCAAAACACCTTCTCCAAACCCCTCCTTTCTTCCCAGGCTCATCTTCCCTCCTNAGGAGATGTCACCTGTGTCCCCATGGCTGGGGGACCTTTTCCTGGGCTGTGGGTGCAGGAGATGTCACCTGTGTCCCCATGGCTGGGGGACCTTTCCCCTGCCCCTCTGCTTGCCTCTCACACAGAACTGGGTCAGTGCTTGTGACACTGCTCTGTCAGGTTCCCTGGTTCACCTCGTTTTTCTCTGAACTTACCAGGAAAAAGCCAATTTGCATTAATTAGCAGGAATTGTTACAGAGGTGAAGAAATGCAGCTGTGAGCAGCAGTGCTGTGATGGATGTCACAGCCCCTGTCCTGCCCCAGCCAGGGCCACCAGGTCCCTGTGTCCCTGCTCTGAGCTTCACTGCCCTCTCCTCCCTGTGCAGAGCCAGCCCTGCAGGATCCCCGTCCTGGTGGCTGCCAGGCTGCTCCAGGCACCCAGTGTGCCCCCAGTGTGTCCCCAGTGTGTCCCCAGTGTGTCCCCAGTGCCACTGCGCCCTGTCCCCAATGCCACCAACCCTGCCAGTGCCACTGTGCCCTATCCCCAGTGCCACCAACCCTGCCATTGCCACTGTGCCTTGTTCCCAGTGCCACCAAACATGCCAGTGCCACTGTGCCCTGTCCCCAATGCCATCAACTGTGCCAGTGCCACCAACCCTGTCCCCAGTGCCACCAAACGTGCCAGTGCCACTGTGCCCTGTCCCCAATGCCACCAGCTCTGCCAGTGCCACTGTGCCTTGTCCCCAGTGCCATCAACCCTGCCAGTGCCACCAACCCTGCCAGTGCCTCTGTGCCCTGTCCCCAGCGCTGCTGTTTGTCGCCCTCCTGCCCAGCTGCCCCTCGGTGGCACAGAAAGCCCAAACTCGCCAGCTCTGTGCCCTGCAGGGTCCCTGCTGCTCCCCCTGCCCCTCCCCAGAGCAGGGACAGCCCACCCTGCCCTCACACCACAATTCCAGATTCTCTCTCAGGATCCCCATCAGTAAAAGCAGCCTGGGGAGAGGAGAATGCAGCTTTCTCTGACTCACATTTTCAGAAGCTGTAAATAGTACAATAAACTTAAACTTCCCCAGAAAGCACTTTGTGCAATCTGAGCATTTTTCACCCTAATTTGTCATCTCTGTAAAGTATCCTTTTTTCCATTACAGATTTATTGTTTTGCTTTGCCCAGTGCTTCCTGAAGCCTGTCAGTATCACTTTTAAAACTGTATATATAATAAGGGACTTGTCAATTAAACAAACAGAAGAAAATCACCCAGAAAATGCTTTGGAGTTTGGTTATTTAAATAACAGCCTTGTCCCTGTGGAGCATCTGCAGCCGAGACAAATAAAATCCCTCAGGTTTGATTCTTGAAGGAGCTGACAAGAAAGATGGAGAGACACAATTCACAAGGGTCTGGAGTGACAGGACAAGGGGGAATGGCTTCAAACTGGGGGATAATGGGCTTAGATGGGATATTGGGAATTAGGAATTGTTCCCTGTGAGGGTGGGCAGGCCCTGGCACAGCTGTGGCTGCCCCTGGAGCCCTGGCAGTGCCCAAGGCCAGCCTGGGACAGTGGGACACCCTGGGACAGTGGGAGGTGTCCCTGCCCATGGCAGGGGTGGCACTGGGTGGGATTTAAGGTCCCTTCCAACCCAGCCCATTCTGGGATGCTGGGAAAGGGCAGCGCAGGCTGAGTCCACCCTGGGAGCTGCTGACAGAGCTGGGCTCAGCCATTCTTCTCCAAATCCATCTGGTGAGCA